CCCACCAACGACCTAAGAATCGATACTGGAAAAGGAAACCTTCTGCGTTGGTCAGTAACTTGCACGAAGGCGTACAGCGTTGTTCAATTCGCGCATTTCTGCGATTTTTATGTTTGGAGTTCAAAAGTATGGTTTCGTATTTTGTTCCTCGTGTCTCTGACCATCGGCATAGAGTGCATGGTGATGTTCAGCTGTCCACGGCATCAGCTATACTTTTAGTGCTTAATTAAGATATGGTCTTGTTCCGTATGTTCATACAATAAAGTGCATAAACATATTCAGAAACATCAAAGATAGTCTTGCTTGTGAGCCGCCCTCTACCTCTTCAGGTAGAGAACTCATAACTGTATTGGTTTTCATCTGTGATGAAGGATGTCGTCTGAAAGACTTGAGCAAGGAACTTGGAAGGCCAGCAAAAGTAGACAGAAGGAAGAATGGCAAATCAAATAAGAGAAATCATATTGTAGCGTCTAACCAGCCTATGGCATTTAAACAAAAAACGAAGAACTGAGATTTCTGGAAACGTGACCTGAACCAGCCCAGCAACCCATTTAAGACCATGCTTTGAAAATGAACGAATTAAAGATTCATGAGTACTATTCAGAACCGAACTTAATATGAACTGTTTGAACAATGATGTTTGACCAATAGCCAGTAAAGGATAGGCAGCTGCTAACCGTTGGGATGTCAGTCTTCCGTAAAGTTTCATCATTTCTAAGGTCTGTTTAATGGAACCAACAATGCAGCGTTGACCTCGGTTGCGAGGTCTTTGGCCAGCAGTACCACATCGTCTTTTATGACAGAGCATGCAACTTATAGCTTTCTGTTTCCTCACTACAGAGCACCACAAAGGTACTCATTTATCTATCTCTAAATCATGAGTTACGAGTTTATCTGACCGGAAGTTAGACCCACCATATTTCAACTGGAGGCCCAACTTCTCGCCTTTCATCTGCCCTAACTTGTGAACCCAAATATACTGGGAAGCAAGAAACGGTCAAAGCGTGACCGAGTGCCTGACAAAAAAATCCATACATACCTGATCCTCGGAAAAGTGTCGGGGAATGGCAAATGTGTTTCACCCAGCGTACCTTTTCAGAAATGAATTCAATCCTTGATGCTTGATCGCGTAGCCCAGACCAAAAATCAGAATCTTCTTGTTCTGCTCAGCTAGCCCTACCTACAGCTCTATCGCATTAAGGCTTCTCTCTCCAGGTAAGCCTCATTTTTAGAGAGTCATAAAAGCCGACACGGACACGGCAAGCGCTGTAGCGAGTAAACTGACCATTTCTGTCACTGCTAGAAAAGTCTACAACTTACTGGATGTGAAGATCTAGGAAAGTTTTGAAGAGACCAGCTGTAGCTTGTCTCTTTTGCGGTCACAAAGGCACAGGTAAAGAAAGACCTACAGTAAACGTTACATGGACGGCTAGTGATGTGATGTAATAATAGCTTGAAACTCGCATCGCAGCTTCGCGCATAAGACCACTACAACCCAGACAGAAAATGTGCGTGGACGCTGTGACCACATAAACGTTGTGCCACGACAATTCGCCGGCAATAAACATTCTGGGATTCCTGCATGCTTTTAACTTCAACATTAAGAGATGAACCGAATATTTAAAAGCACAGTAACAAACAGATCAAAATCAACATCGATTTCATATGCATATACACATACATATACATATATTAATCTAATGATATAATCTGAGCC